TAAATTTTTTGTATCGTTCTAAAGCCATAACTTTAATTGGATCATTGATATTCCTCAAGTCTGTCCCTTTTAGGATTTTATTTATATTTTTTGTCCAAACATATAAGTAAAATGATAAAAACTTTTGAACAAAACAAAAGTTCAGATTATGCTTTTTGCAAGAAAAATTAAGAGGAACAAATTCATTAATCCTTTCTCTTAATTTTTTTTGCAAATTGTTCTTATATGCGATTTTGGGCAAAAAGTGGTGAACAACTTCGTTGCACATCCCAAATATTTGTGTAAAATTGCTATTTGGTCTTAAAAGTGCCTTAGGCCCATAAGATCTTGCCTCAATAAGGCCATGCTCCTTTTCCAACCTTGTTGTTGTTAGTTCCTTTTTACAACAACTACACTGCCCAATTTTTTTTAACAATTTTCTTGCCATGTATCCTGCAATATAAGAGTGAGTTTGTTTATTTATTTCATTGATATTTGAAAATTGAAATGTTTCTTTAGTAACTTGTGGTGTTTCTAAAGAAACAGCAGGCTCTACAGTTATATTGCAGGATAGAAAATTCTTTAAAGAATTAAGTGCTCCTTCACTTTCATCCTCCTCGCAATTTGCACCTGGAGAGTGAGAAGACACAAAATTGCTAATAATAAGGCTTTTAAAGGAAGCAGTGAAGGAGCTGGGCGTAGGATTAATATTCCTAACCCCATGGCTTCTTATACATCCAAAGAAATTTTCAACAGGATCTTGGTTTAAATTTCTTGTGCAAAGAAATTCAAACTTGTTCCTGTTGAGATTTCTCCAGATGTATTTAAAGCCATGAAGTGTTGTTATCCAATTTTTAACCGTTGGGGGGACAAAATCCTTTCCTTTTCTTTGGAACTTGATGGTTTTCAGGACACCAATGGCTTCATCCCAAAATGCAATATGTGGGGAAGATTTTGTCACCGCACATTTTAGCATTTTACCATGTTCTGGCTTCATAAGTGATCCATTAACACTATCAAATAGCTTGTCCATGAACATTAAAAAATTGGCAGTCCCTAATGCATTTTCTGGAAGGCATTCGTTTCCTGCAATAAATAAAAAGTTTATATTAAATTTAAGCTAAAATAAGGATTGATTTGTTATTTTTACATAATTTATTTAATAATTATTATTATTATTACTATAAGGGTTAATTTTGCTATTTTTACATAACTTATTAAAGAACTTACCATATTTTACAAGTCCCCTCATAGTTGAAGATACTCTATGTGAGAATACTTGTGCAGCATGTTTCACCTTCATCTTCTTCATTTTTTCTTTGTAGATGTGGGCATCTGTTAATTTATTTAACATTCGTGTGTCAAAGTCGCCCACATCTAATTCATAGAGACTTTGAACATGCTTCCATGATGCAGTTTGTGTTCCCTCTTTCCACATAAACGTCACATCATATTCGCTGAAGTTGTTCCTCATTCCCTTGAGCAAATGGGGGCAGTCATAAAGAGGAACAACCTCACTTCCATCAACCTCAAAACCCAAACATCTATTTTCTTTTCCTGATAGATGGTATTTTCTGTTGGTTTCATCCTTTAGCATTTTAATAGCAGTTGAGTTGATGGACAGTTGGTCACACACAGTGGCAACAACTTTCAGACCAATATCTTGAAGTGATCGAATGACTTCTTTTAAATTCCTAACTATATCAGGAGCACTCATGCCACTTTCGGAAAAATAGTAGCAAATGGGCTGCTTCCATTTTCTTCTTAAGCCCCTGGCCATAAAAACCATAGCATGGTCTGCAAATTTTTCCATTCTCCCTCCTCCACAATCAACAAAACCATCAATGGAGTCTGTTTTTTCATTGTAAGTAAGAGAGGCATCCAGATGCATCTCGTCATACATTACGCTGCAAACCCTGTCAGCTTCATCCATCTTCTGTACAGACAACTTCATTGCTTCGAGGATATGCCTGTTAAGGCCTGTTCTAAATGGAACCTTATTTAAAAGGTCCATTAAAACCTTCCTCGAAGGCAGTGCAAATGTCTTCTGCAAAAGACGGTAGCCTCTTGGACTCTGTTTTAAAAGAGACAATGCAAAAATTTTATCCTCTAATGAGTAACGACGACCCCTACTTCTTTTTGACTGCATGGCAATCTGGCTATGTATGAAGTTAAGTGTTATCTGGTTAACTTTAGTTGTCATAAAGTCACCTGACTCTGCAAACTTTTGGACTTCATGCAGACGTTTCTTTATGTTAGAATTTTCAACATCTAGTCTTCGAGCCAGACGCACCATACCTCTTGCTATTCCATAAAACGTTTTGGCCTTAGGTGTCAATTGAGCAGCTCTAGTGGAATTGGCATGGTGCAAGAGGTTAAATCTCCTCCTTAAATCTTAAATGAAACATGTATATTAGGATGATGTTCAATTTTAAAATAAGACAAATTTAATAATTATTAAATTGTAATTGTAAATTTAATTCTATACCTATAACTTATTAATTACTTAACAATAGAACATTAGCAATAAATATGATTTAGCAATTGTATTTAATGACATTATACAGGACAGTTCTCAAAAAAATAGGCATACATAAACTGCAGTTTTGTCACAAGATCAACCTTGTGTCAAACCAACTAGCTTTTTTTAGTTTTTGAAAATTGTAATAAAACAAAAATCTTAATTTAAAATATAAATATCACTTTCTAAACTTTAAAAAATCTAATGCTTAAATGTAATACTTGTTTAACAGTAAAATTTACAGACAAAAATTTAAATTGAAAGTTATTGTTTAACATAATGGATGCACAAAATTTTAAGTTTTTATTCAAAAAAGTTTTTGCTATTTAAATATAATATAAATGATAACAATTACAAAGTAATAATTACTTATAATAAGGAGGCATTCAAGTATTACATTTTACTTTTGCTAACATTATAAATCTTGAGATACAAAATTTATTAATTAATTCTTTAAAAAGTAGTTTTTTAAATTTTAATATTTAATACAAATTTTGAAAAAAATTCTTACATCTTATCGTTTAGGGGAGGGGGCTAACGATTTTTTTATTTTCGATTATACAGGGGGGTGGGGTCTAAAATCATAGAAAGTTTGCTTATGTAATACTTAAACACCCCTTAAGCTACTGGCTAAGTACCTCTGCGTTGCTTAGGTGTCCTTGGAGAGTATATACTGATGGAAGATCCTTTCTTAGGACTTTCAAAAAGGCTTCCAGGGGGTAAGCATTTGGGAGTTTGAATCATTGAACCTGATGTATGTAAATCTGAAATTTAAAGGATTAATTTTATTTAAATTTACAATTAAACAAAATCATATTTACCTTCCACAAAATGAAAATTGCTTGTAGATGGAGTTGGCTCAACATCAATCTCTTCTACTGCTGATTCTCCAAATTTGGCACCACTAATACTTAAAGAGGTTCCTGGTTGCACATGATATTCCTCAGTAACTAATTCTTCAAGAACAGTATCATTTGAACTAAGTACTGGTTCATCATAAGTAATGCCTAAAACAAGATTATTTAGCATTAATCCATAAGTATATACCTAAAAATGGATCAATTTTTTCAAGGATAAGCATAGGTACCTATATTTCGGCAGTTTTTAAAGCTAGCAAAAATATTTTGGTAAATTTAAATTCCCCTTGAAAAGGTAAGACAATAATGTGGGTATTATAAAAGGCTACCTTCAAACATTTTTTAAATGAAAATAATATCAAGTCAAATTTCTTTTTAGATATAGGCCTAAAAATACGCAACTTGTAGCTCATCAAACAAAAAAGATACCCATGCTTAGCCTGTCCTAAAAGAACACACTCTACAGTAAGAGAATATGAATTTTTCATCCTGTAATGCCAGATTACACCTGCTGAATGCTAGGCCGAGACCTATTTACTGTCTCTCCATATATGGATAAATTACTAGTCTCAGCCCAGCACTTGGTATGTGTAATTCCAGCTCAAAAGCAAAATAACATGCAATGAACTGTAGAGTTAAAATTATATTACATTAAACTGAATATGTATGTATGTGCATGTAATTATTACCTGGCAATCGTAGGTCTGGAAATGCATTTGCCCTAATATTGGTTCTATTGCGATTGGTGGCAAATTTCATTTTATCTGAAAAATGAAGATCACACACCTTTGATGTTACCCTTCTAGACATAGTGATGTCTTTCCTTTGGATTGCTTCAACCCACATGTTGAATAGCTGTAACACAGATAAAATATATTTTTTAATTTTTCTAGAGTAACACAATAAAGATTCTAATTGTCACACAATGCTGTACATGACCTTATTTGATTTTTGTAGCAAAATATTAATATCGAGTGGAATCAGCCAAACGTAGTAGTGACAAGTTAAGGATTAATTAACTTAAATCTGATTTGTTCTACCATAGAAATAATACGTATTAGTATTATTTCTATGTGTTCTACGTTTAGTGGACTTAACTACATATTTAGAGCAATTAAAATTAAAAACCAACCTCGAAAATATATGTTTGTTTGTTAATACAGAAGTAAACATTAAACTTACCTCAGGATCTTTAGGAAACGAATGTAATATTGCCTCCTTACTTGTATTTCTACAATTAACTACAGCACATTTAAAAACCATAATGAAAAAATCAAAATCGCACAAAGGAAAACTTGTTTGTCTACAACAAATGCCGAACAAAACAATAATGGCGGCATTGCCGCGTCATACACATTCGTTCATAAACGCGGGTTATTTAAATTCTGCTACAACAGCGCCAATGTGACCATATCTTAAACTAAAATTTTTGTAATAATAAGGCCCGACATTTAGAGATGGAGTGAGCATAGCGCTATAGCAAATTCACCAAAAGCTCGCGATATTACAGTAGTAATATAAGAAGTAAATTTACTACTGGACTAGCTAGAAGCTTGTAGTTTTACTACGCTGTAAGCAGTACAAATTTTTACCTATCGCTAGTAAATTTACAGAGGTGGTTTTACATGTGTACATAAGTTTACCTAAAATCTTCTGCAAAATACTGCATCATCCTATTGTCTATATCAGCACCACCTAAATGTGTATCGCCAGCAGTGGATTCCACTTCAAAAATTCCATCTGTTCCAAGTTGAAGAACCGAAACATCAAAAGTTCCACCTCCCATATCAAACACCAAAATGTACTTGTCCCCTTCTACCTTAAATCGGTTAAATTGGTAACATTAGCACCTAACTGCAGTCAAAGATTAAATAAACTTTATATTCTTAATGTACTATAATAAACATATATTGTATTAATTATAGTATATACAGGATGTAACTAAAATACTGTTACAAACTTTGAGGGTAGACACCCCATGCAAAATGGACTCGAAAAATATATAAAACTAAGGCTTTGTTTAGGACGCGTCCGGATGTCCTAAAGACCGATATGCTAGCTGGGTAGTAACGAATGAGCTCGCATTTGAAGACAGGGGGGGAGAAAGTGTCCTGTTGTGCACTTTACCTTAAAAAGAAAGAAAAAAAACTTGACTTGGTTTTGTTTCTAAGTTGAGTATGAGTATAAGGACGTATGGCAGGCCCCATCGGCAACGCCTTACACTGATCTTCCAGGGTTATTTTACCCCCTTTCGGTTCTCATACGTATCCCGCCACTGCACAGCGTTACCTGTGTTTGTTGGATCCGAATTTTCACCCCGGCAGGTAAATCTTCCCTAGGAGATCGTGGATGACAGTCCCGGATTTTTGTCGCCGGGTCGCACCATACGCCAGATTTAGGCTAGTGGTTTTTGGGGGCCTTGAACTGACCCAAAACTAAGTACAATCCGGACTCCCCCTCAACCAGGGTTTTAGTAATAACCCCATTCATTTGGGGTTAATGAATGGGGACTTGATTGGTTAATATGCTGTTCGCCTGTGTCCTCTCTGTCCGGGTCATATTCCCAGCTTGTTGATTATCTATATCGTTGCTCCCATATAAACAATACTACTCTTAGTAGTATCTTTTCTATGTTTGCACTCGTGCTTAGAACGTTTGAGGAGTCAGCCAAATTATGGTCCCCTTAATGTCTTAGTAATCTACAGATGTTTATTTCTTTAGAATGGGTTTCGTTTGTTAAAGGATTCTTATGTGTGCCCTTGTGTTTTTAGTTTTTTGACTGGTTGATCTTTATTTGAACTGTTTGTGACTAATTGTTTTACCTGGTGGTGCCGTGCATCCCTGACTTGGTTTTGTTTCTAAGTTAATCGTTAAATCTAAATATCCATAGTAGAAAATAAAGTGGCAAAAGGGGAGCAAATACCCGATACCTACGCCACTGGATGGTTTAAACAGAAGCAATCAGTATCAAAAAATAGGTATTCATTCAATAAGAGTTAACTCAAAATTTAGTGAAAAGTGGTAAAAATGTTCAAAAGTAATGATGGAAAATCAGTTCTATAAATTTAACTTAAATTTTTACCATGTATTTTAGACTATCAGATTATATATTTTTCGAGTCCATTTTCCATGGGTAATCTACCCTCAATGTTTGTAATAGTATTTTAGTTACACCCTGTATATTCAATCTTTGGTGCATTGCATAAACAACGAAAGAAAATTAACGGTTTCAGTGGCGTGTACGTCATGTACCTAAATACAGCAGGGGGAAGAGAGTTAAGGTTTAAATTATCTTTCATAATTATCTTCATAAAGAGTCCGCTATTGCACTTAAACCCTTTTTAGTGCATATAAATCTTTGGATATTAGTTCCTTAGAAACCATCACATGAATAATAATTATTAATTAATAGGCCGGAATATGCCATAAATTTTTTACGAAATAATGTCTAAGAAGTTCCTTAGGAATTAAGTAATTTTAAACCATAATTTATTTAATTTTTTGTACTTTATTTTAGCGTATTATGATGATAAGCATAACTAAATATTGGAAATATTTAATATGTCGATAAAAAAATGTTTATCTTCAAGGGTCTATAATTTAAACTCGAATATCGTCTAAACTTACTACAAAATGTGCAATTTTGCTCGACCAGGTCAAGTTTTAATTTTATCGTATTTGGATTATTTTCCAGAAAATTGTGGGTATTTTAGCGAAGAGCAGGGGAAACGTTTTCACCATGACATTCGTGTAATGGAAGATATCAGGGCCGGTGGGACGTAAATATGCTGGCAGACTACTGCTGGTGCCTAAAAAGTGATGTTCAAGAAGGCAAGCCACAATATTTTTTTGTACAGCATTGTTATATTAATTACAGCCTTAATTTAAATAAATACATTTTAAATTTGTACAAAATATTTAGTGTCATAGGTTAGCTTTTAATTTTTTCAAAATATACAAATAGCAAAAAAACTTGACCTGATATAGAAAAATGCGCTACATTTTTGAAATCAGCAAATTGCATTTACCCAAAACTTTGACCTTAGACAAAAAAAAATTAAAACGCAGACCAGTGTTATCGCTTTCGACCCGGGGGTTAATCAAAATATGTGATAACTGTCAAATCTATCTAACCTCACTTTCTACTTTTAATAATTCTTATTGAAATTGTACTTTTTATTTATGGATAAAAAAAAGTATGCCTTGAAAATAAAATGTTCTATGTCAGTCGACTGAGAAAAAAAAATACTCACTTCTCTTTAATTAATTAATAATTTTCATTAGGTTTTAGTAATCCATTTTTAGCAAGGTTTATGGAATGTTTAATTTTTAAAAATAATGTATACTTCCTTGCTTGTTTATATTCTTTATTTGCGACTAGTTTCGGTTATACACCACACATACTTCCACAAAGTACTATCGCTAACAAAAAAAACTCATACAGCTTAAAAATCTACACTCTTAAACCCGAAGAGTGAAATCTGTCCTCAAAAATAAAATGAAATCTAAAATACTCTTTTTTAAATGAAAACGAATAAAAAAGAATGGAATTTACTAAAACAAGGTGAGTTTTTTTAAATTCCACTCTTTAAGTTTTAAATAAAAAGTCGTCTTTTCTTAAGTCGTAAATTCACTCTTTATAAAGGTTAAATGTGCTTTTTAAACTTGAAATTTCACTCTTTAAGTATTTAAATAAAAGTACTCTTTTTTTCAATCAAAACATTCTATCTTTATAAAAGTTAGATGTATTTTTTTAAATTGAAATTTTATCTTTAATTAATTAAATAAAAAGTATTCTTTTCTGAAGACGTAGGTTCACTCTTTAAAAAGGTCATATGTACTATATATAAAGTTAAAATGTCACTCTTTAGATATTTAAATAAAAATACTATTTTTTTCAAACGAAAATTCTGTCTTTATAAAAGTTTCATGTAGGTATTTTTTAAATTGAAATTTATTCCTTAATTATTTAAATAAAAAGTGCTCTTTTATTAAGTCGTAAATCATAAAAATTTTACTTCTCTTTTTTAATATTAAATTTAGTCTGTTAAAAGTTATGTAAATATTTCAAAGTTGAAATTTCAAATATTAATAATTTAAATAAAAAGTACTATTTTCATAACTCATAAATTCACTGCTTATACCTATACCTAATTTTTAAAGTAAAATTTTTACAATTAAAAATCCTTCATAGTAGGTATGTGCATTTTTTGCAATAATGAACCTAAATTCATTGTAACGTTTGTGTTTGTTTTGATTTCATCTTAAAGAAAGCGGTAGAAGGGGCGCAAAGCGTTGTGATATACTAAACAAGCCATTTATGCATAGAGTCTCTATGATAGAGAGGCTTCGACGCGAGGTGAAAGTGTTTTAAGTGATAAAATGGAAGAAATATTAAAAGAACAGGGTGTGGACGATGAGTCAATTAATCGGCTTAAAGGTAAGTTTGTTTGTAATAATTATATTTAACTTTATTGAGATTCTAAGTAAAATATTATGGTTCCAGCCTTAAAGGATTGAAATTAATTCTTTAAAGGATGAAATTAATTCAAAAAGAGTTTTTTAAATAATTATTATTTTTAAATTGTAATTCGAATATAACATACTTTTAATCTCGCTCGCTAAGGTTAATCTGTAAAAAAAATTGTTTTATGCTTGGAATTCGGTTTTAGATGACATTTAATTTTTGTCCTCCATAACTATAGTTACCAAACAAATTGGGGTAATATTTAACGTATTATAATAGTTGTGTAATATTATATTATATTTAACGTATTATAATAGTTGTGTAATGCCATGCTAAGCTTAATCTACAATATTAAATAATTAAGAACAAAAGATAAGTTTTATTGTTTGTCCTTTATTAGGGCAGAATTATTTTAACTAGGTATTATAGTACACAAAGCGAGAAAATTTCCGAGATGTTAATTGTAATTTTACAAAGATTTTGTAAAGATTTAATGGAAATTTTTATTTTTAATATACAGGGTGTCCGAAAAATGACGGAACCACTCCATAGTATGCTGTAGGTTATTTAAAGCATAAAAAAATCCGACTAATATTTTTCGAATTAGAAGACATCTTGGAATATTCCAAAAAAATGCAGCCGGAGCCATACATCATCCAATATGAGGGAACATTATGTTTTAGACTTGGAATACAATCCTGTTTTAAAAAAATTTTTTTTGATTACTTTATATTTAAAAAATTCGACATTATTAATAAATAGCTCAGCTGTAAGCTTATTTGCTGCTTTAAATAATTAATTAATTTGTTTTATAATTTATAATTATTTAAATTTAAAGAAAAATTTATTTTTGTTATAATAATTAATTAATTTAATAATTTATTATTATTTTAGTTTAAAAATAAGTATTATTTTATTTTTGTCATGTAAAGAAAAATTTATTTTGTTATTTATTAATTAAATAGATGCTTATATATATTATAATTTTCTTTTTGTTTTTATAACCCCAATCATTAATCTGTTACAGCCTATAGGTAGGTATATTATATTACTTAATTTTTACCTTTGTTTATTTTTATTCTAAAGTTTTATATTACAATATGTATATGTATATACATTGTATAGGTACTGTATAAAGTAGGTCCCCTTTATAATACGGAACGTTTTTTATTATTGTTTTTTTTTATGAAAAGTCATTCCAAATAAAAAGATTTGCTCGTGGGAAAAATAAGATTGATATTTTTTTTTTAGATTTTATATACAGGGTGTTCAAACATTATGAAAATCGGTACCTTAGAATGACAAGAATTTAAGTGCAGCTGCCTTGTTAAGCAAAAATGCCTTATCTGCAATATTTATATTGTATATTGACAGAACCTTAGAACCTTATCATTCCAAAGTATCAAAATATAAGTTTTATATAAGAAAGAAGTAGCTTTATTTAAAAAATCAACATTTTTATAAGAAAAATTTGTTACGACGGAAAATGTAACTTTAAATTTTTCTTTGTTTTTTCCAGAATCAAGTTATATAAATATAAATATTTTTATTGTCAAAAAAATAACATTAACAAAGTTAAATTTGGGATTTAAAATGTCTTGAATAGATTTTGTTTCCTAAGTTTTAACCAAAGGAAAGATCCCAAATTTTACTAAGTGGATGTTATTTTTTAACAGAAATGACTCAAAAATAAAAATATAAATAAACTCGATCGTAGAAAAATCAACTTTATAATTTCCGTCATAATTTTTGTATTCAGACTTCGTTTTTAATTACAAACAGTTTTTTCTTACAAAAATTTTCAAACAAATTAAAAAGAAAGGTACCTACTACTTCTCTTTTAAATCGATTTCATGTTTTCCTAATTTTTGAACACCCTGTAAATAAAATACCAAATTTTTTTGTCAATGTTATTTTTTCAAGGATCAACTTTTTATCACGAGAGACTTCTATGAAAACCCAAAAATAAAATAAAATGTTCCTCTTCCGGGGAAATACTTTATTGCTTAATTAATTAGGTTTGCACAAAAAAAGATTAAAAGTCAAAATACCTAATAGAAAAGTTTTTAGTAAGTACAAAAACGAGTGAAATCAAAAATACTCGTCAAGACGTCAAGATAATAAAAGTATGTAAGTTAAAATCACATAAAAGAAATTAAAGTCAAAACAACAAAAAAAGGGTGAACTGAAAAAACTAAATAGGAGTTAATTTAAAATAATTATAAAAAGAGTGAAGTAAAAAACATACAAAAAGAGTTAACCTAAAACAATATAAAAAGAGTATAATTAAAACATGCAAAAAATAGTAAATTTGCAACCTTCAAAAAAGAGTAAAAATGAATTAATTTTAAAAGAATGAAATATAAAATACACAAAAAGGAGTAAAATTAAAATCAATCATAAAAGGGTTTTAATATTCTTATTTTAAAAAATTTAAATTTAAATCACTCAAAAAAAAATCAATAAATTTCACTCTTTAATGAGTAAATGGGTATTTACCCTTTTTTTCGCTCCTTAAGAGTAAAAAACTTTTTACGTGGCAAAGGAGTGAAAAACCATTCTTTATGAGTGTTTTTTCACTCCTTCTGAGTGATTTGGTTTAAGAGTGTAGTGTTCCTGATTTTCTATCATTTCGTTGGAGTAATTATGGCTTTTAACATGATACGTCACATTTGAAAGGTCTAAAATTAAATAGAAAGTTAGGTTGAAGTTTGAAAAAAAATAATATTTCGTCATCCCTCTGTTTTTGTCAATTACTGCCCGCAAACGGCAAAGCATGGAAGTCGCCGTCTTGCTTTATCTCGTTCCAAATGGCTTCAATGGCTTGCCAGAGTTCGTCTGCATTGTTTGGTTAAAAATGTTAAAAAAGTCATAATGGATGTGACAAAGCTCGATGTCAGCTTGACATTGACGGAAAAGTTTTATTCACACAGCCACAATATAGCTGTATGAGTTTTTTTTGTTAGCGATAGTATGTGATACACCAATGGTGTAACACCATCTTCAGGCAAAAATGTGAAGTTTTAAATGTTCGTAATATATTATTCTATTTTAAAACTTGACATTTTTGCCTGAAGATGGTGCAAGATTGGCAAAAATGTCAAGTTTTAAAATATGAGTCATCTATGGTTAAAATAGAATAATATATTACGAACATAGAAGTTTTAAACAATTTTTACACTTTATAAATAAATGTTTTTTGTGGTAGCACTTGACATTTTTGCCTGAAGATGGTGTATAACCGAAACTAATCGCAATATAAAGAATATAAACAAGCAAGGAAGTATACATTATTTTTAAAAATTAAACAATTAATAATTACTAAAAACAGTCATATTATTACAAATAAAAAAATGTAATAAACCCCATTGTTGTTGAGCTCATTGTTTGGTACTTACTTAGCTCATTAACTAGACAAAATATAATTACAAAACATTAATAATGAAAAATTAAAAAGAAAACTACTGGTAATGTTTACCTTTTTATCAAGCCCATATGCAATAGCTGCAGCAGTGGGTTCATTAATAATTCTCTTAACATCCAGTCCTGCTATTGTTCCTGCGTCTTTTGTGGCCTGCCTTTGATAGTCGTTAAAATAGGCCGGAACCGTGATCACGGCCTTCGAAACATTGGAATCCAAGTAGGTTTCGGCAATTTCCTTCATTTTACCGATCACCATCGATGCGATTTCTTCGGCGAAATAGGTTTTCGACTCGCCTTTGTACTGAACCTGTATTTTTGGTTTTCCTGCATCGTTGATTACTTGGAAGGGCCATAACCTGATGTCTTGTTGGACTACAGGATCTTCGAAATGTCTGCCCATAAGTCTTTTGGTATCTAAGAAAAGAGTATTTTAAAATTTTTTATATAATATGTAAAAAATTTTATATTATATAATACAAATTTTATATTTTGTTACTAAGAATCAAACACGGTTTTTTTGTGTAAGTAAATAAGTGACTAAGCAATAAAAACACAATAATGAACTAGTATGACATAAAATTTATTTTGCACTAACATAATTAATCTAGGTAGGTTCTTTATTGTACCATAATATTATTTAGTTGAACTCTAATGCACTTTTCGACCAATAAGATTTAACAGCTTTAATACCTTTTAATGAAGGGCCTTTAGTTTTAGGATGCCGAAACTTATAATATAAATAAAAGTTCATAAGCATAAATTATCCTACCATAAACTGTATTTTCCGAATTAGCTATGGCTTGTTCTTTCGCTGGGTCTCCCACTAGTCTCTCGTTATCCGTGAATGCCACATAACTTGGCGTTATCCTGTTACCTTGTTCGTTTGGTATAATTTCCACTTCTCCATTTCGAAAAACGCCCACGCACGAATAAGTTGTGCCCAAGTCGATTCCTACGGAATACGATTCTTTACGTTCTTCGTTCTCACTAGCCGCGGCCATTTAACCGCTTAAGATAATAAACTGTTTTTTTTTTAGATTTTGACTTTATGTTGACAAGAATTTCATTAGGATATACAGCGTGAAGAACATTTATTGCATTATAAATTTTGATTTATAGAAAAGTCATAAACAACTATAAAGATAAACCATTATAAAAGGTGTTTTTTCTCCGGTTTTATTAAATGTGATTTATATAATATTTTTGAATGATTAGGTTACTAATTCTTTGCTTAAATATAAAGTTAAAAACAACAAAAATTTGTTTGTCGTCCATATTTATGACATTTTTGTTACTCTCCTAAATATACAGGGATTGTATATCATTTAAATGGCAATTTCATCAAATTAAAATTAAGGAGGTGATCTGCAAACTACAACTTTTATTCCAGAAATAAATAAGGCAGGGATTGCAAAACCTACGCTAACGCGCGAACTCATCGACTGTTAAATTTTTGTAGAAATACAATGCTCTCCGAAGCATGTAAAATGAAAAATCTCAATAAATCCAATAAAACAAAAATTTCTAATGGTGGATTTTAAGGCTTATTTTTTCTTCGACTTCGCGTTTCTGAAATAAAAATAAAAAAAGATGATTTTTTCGTGGTACGAAATTATTTTTATAATAAACTCACAATTTCTCTTACAAAAATGCATGGAATGACTGAAATTTCATGACGACCATTATTTTTAGTTTTTTTTTTGTGGCCTAAGCAATTAATTTTTTTTTCGCGGACAAGTGCAAAGCGCGAGGGAAAACACTGTACAAAAATGTTACTAGGTAGAGTCACAATCCACACAACAAGGTCTGTTCGATCTCGTAGTAAAAATACTAAAAATCACTGCAACAATAGCACATCATACGATGGCGGCCATTTTTGTTGTTTACAATTCTTGTGCTTTGGGTTTGTACAGATTAATAATCGTTTTAAACGTTGTGTTTCTTACAGAGAGACTTGAAAAGCCTTAAAAGAGACCTTAAAGTGGTAAGAACAATCATTTTACTGCTCTTTTGTAAAAACTAAATCTTATTATATCAGGGCTGTCAAATGTCAATTTCAAGGTTAATTTAAGGTTATTTTATAACCCACAAATTAACCTTCAAATTGACATTTGATAGAATAAGGTTTATTTTTTACAAAAAGAAGAGTAAAATGATTGTTCTTACCACTTTTAAGGCTTGCAAGTCTCTCTGTAAGAAACACAACGTTTAAAACGATTATTAATCTGTACAAACCCAAAGTACAAGAACTGTAAACAACAAACATGGCCGCCATCGTATGATGTGCAGTGTTGCAGTGATTTTTAGTATTTTTACTACGAGATCGAACAGACCTTGTTGTGTGGATTTTGGGTAGAGTGATATTAATATCTCAAGGCGTTTGACCTTGAGAGACGCTATAATATTATAACAATTATAATAGAACCTCTAGGCTAGAAATTTTTCTAAATATGTCAATAAATATCAGCATTGTCAACCCTGTATAGTATGTTTTTAGGTTGGCGAGTACTTAATAGCGCGATTTGACGAATTTAAGACTTCTGCGCACCCAAGGTCATCCGCCATGAGATACTAATTGCACTATCTCAAAGATAATATTATCTTTGCTCTACCTTAGGGGACATCCATTAATTACGTGAGGAATTTTTCTGATAATTTGGACCCCTCCCTCCCCCTTGGTGAGATTTGGTGAGATGTGGTAGACCCCCCCTATCCGTCACGTGAGATCCTAGCCATTATCTTTCATTGCGGACAACATGATAAACCCAAAAAAATTGATTACTTTTTTTTGACAAATTTGAATTATAATACTTATATTTTTTTAAACCCAAAAGTTGACGTGAGATTTTAAATGATCCCCCCTCCCTTAACATGAGATTTGGTGAGATTTTGCTAGACCCCTTCCCCCCTATTTTTATCTTACGTAATTAATGGAAGTCCTCTTACGACCGTAGGGATTTTCATTAAACATCCCTGCTGGAATTACCATAAATGTTATAAATATTACCCTGGGTTACCACAGCATTTTTTAATTTCTTTTTTTTTCTAATTTTTAATCTTAATTATTTTATTTGTTGTACAGACACAAAACTATTTCCAGAAGCCCCAGATTTTGTCTCAAACGCCCCCCTAAACGTCTAACTTACTTTTTGGATGACCCCTTGCCCTATAAATTTAATAAATGAAATAATTAATTAAAAATCTTTTTGATCTTTTCATAGGGATAAACATTCCTGCTGAAATTACCATCAACGGAACTTTTGATTTGGCCGGCAGTGAACTAGGTACAACTGAAAGAATTAAAAATTTCGGGTGGATACTTCACCCTGCAACATTCTCTTCACTTTCACGGTGAAAAACTGCTTCTATATTATTATTTAAACAGTTGTTAGTTCATTTTTAAGGGATAAATTTCTATTTACACATACAAATTTTACATTTTGATTTTTCTCAGTTGATTTGGTCTATTAAATAAAAAAATGAAAGATATTTAAATTGATATTTTTATTTTAAAACTAAATTAGTACAAACGTAATTTTAATATCTAGATTTCTTCACTTCAAAGTGAAGTTATTTCATTGTTAATAATTTTTAAATCTCAAAAAAATTATTATTCCATATTTTCAGAAAAGACATGATTATACCAAAAAATTTACTTAGATCGTCTTGAGGCACGTGTTGTTTTTAATAAAACAAAAATTCCCAGTGTTTTTCATCAAAACGAAGCTTTTTAGGGGGCGTCGCAAAAAATTTAATTTTTAACGACCACCCTAATATATATACAGGGTGTCCCAGAACTCGCGCCACAGAGAAAAAGGGGGCGTGCCGACAGAAATGGAGATGCCAAATTTCAAAATAAAAAATTTCTAGATAATAGTGTAAGCGAATTAAAGCAAAAAAGTGGCAGGCAATACCGAGAGCTCTTGCCATAGATGACCGAAGGTATAGATAGCCGACTCTCGTTAGAAAATCGAAACAAAGTTAATTTAACAGCGGATATCACCGCCCGTGGCGCTGCACGCAGATCCATTCTAGATAGCGACATCTATTGTCCAAGGGCTTTACTAACAGTTTAAACCGCCTGAAATCTACAGTGCGACATCTAGTGTGTGATATCTGTACTTAAATCTCCTTGAATTTTAAAATTGTAAACCGTAAAAATTTTGTTTTAAATACAAATCTGGCTCGAATGAAACTGACTAACAAATATATTTAAATCTGTTATTTTTTTTTTAAACTTTTAGAAATTAATTATTATATTGTGAGACAATGAGTCCTTATAAAAAAAATTTAAGTTTAAAACCATTGCCTAGAAATTTTAAACAAACATATTTAAATATGTTGTATTTTCAGATGTCCAATAAGATTTGGTAAGCTTTATTATAAAATTCACCCATTTTAAAAGAAAACAAAATTTAATATAATATTACTAAGGCTTGAAGATGTTTGCATTTTATAATGAATTCTATCAAATCCAATAGAAATACTTATTGGTAAGTTTCATACTAATCAAATTTGTATTTTAAACAAACTTCTCACAGTTTACAATTACAATATTTAAGGCAATTTAAAAGTTCTCATATTAATCACTAAATGTAACATTGTAGATTACAGGAGGCGATATAAAATAACTGTATTAATTAATAATGAGTTTGAAAAATCCTTGAATTAGGAAAATGTAATAAAACAAACAAATTATGATTTTATATATTTTTTTAATGAAGTATATAAAAATAAAGTTTATATAAAACAAAGCAAATAAGCATTAATGTCTAAACAAAAAAAAATTACTAATTTAGTTAACAATCTTTTTTAAATTTTTAATAGCCTCCTGCTTCTTCTTGGACTCATTTTTTACCTATTTATAAGGCATTTTTTTATATATTGTATTGGTTATTTCTAAAGTTAACTAACTTACGTCAGGATCCTTAGGAAACGAGTGTAATACTGCCTCGTTACTTGTATTTCTACAATTAACAACAGCACATTTAAACACCATTGTAAAAAAGTCAAACTAACAAAATCGCACAAAAGGAAAACTTGTAAACTGGTAAAAAAGTCAAACTAACAAAAACGCACAAAAGGAAAACTTGTTTGTCTAGAACAAAGCTGGAACAAAACCTTCGGTCATCTATGAACACAACAATAATGGGGTCTCTAAAGTTTAAACGAAAAATTGACAAATTGTCAAATTGACAAATTGTCAAATTGACAAAGATGCCACCTAAGTGTTATTTAAATTCTGCTGCTTCAGCGCTATAATCGATCCTATCCGCAACTAATTTTAAGGTCTGAAAAGGAAGGGGGGAGTGAGCATAGCATGGCTCTTGCCTAGATTAAACGTAGGGGATTTAAAAATTGCTAGGAGACGATAGAACATTGTTGTCTTAAAACTTTTAAAAATCTTTTGGCCGACTGTATTTACTAAGTTGTCAAAAGCTGTCAAAAATGACTGATACCTCAGAACGACAATGTTTTAAAGTAAAAAATCAAACAAGTTGTAATTTTTTAGGCTTTTTTAGTTAAAATTTTAGAAAAAGTCATAAGTTACAGAAACAAATAAACAAACTTTTAAAAAATCACAAAAACTATAAATTTCCGTAAAAGTAAACAAACAACATTAAGTAAAACTAAATTAAATATTATAAAAATGTGTTAACAACTAAATAAAAAAAATATGCTAATCTGTTTACAATAAGTGCTCAAAGTGTGCACCATTCATTTGTAAACAAATCCGCGCTCTTCTTAAAAGGCTGGATTTTGACTCCATGACCATTTCAGGAGTAACCGTCGCAAAAGCTGTTGGATGCGGTTCCTAAACTGATCCTCTGTTTCGATGGGTACACTATAAATAAAGTTTTTAAGGTGTCCCCAAAGAAAAAAATCCAAGGGATTTGAATCGGGTGAACGAGCAGGCCAATTTTGTGGCCCACCTCGTCCTATCCATCGGCCAGGATACTGCCCGTCCAAGATTCGCCGAACGTCGCGACTAAAATGTGGTGGTGCCCCATCGTGCTGCAACCATTCATTTACTC